CAACTATTGGATTAACAACAAATTCCAAGATTGAATGGGGCCTACTGTCAGTCTAACAATTGTAGTGAATTGGGTCATTAAATTAGGTCAAAGTAGCATTACTCATATAAGCAACATAGCTAGGCTGAAAGGTTGGGTTCTTACATCTAGTGTAGTGGCATAACACATGATATTTTCCGTTGCACGAAGCAGAAGCTCAGAATCAAGGTGGCGACCATCAGGGTCATGAGTGAGGAGGATGTTCCTTATCAGGAAATCATCATCCACAGATGATGAGGAACATGAAGAGAAGCTTTCAGTTGCAAGCAGGTTCATGGTCAAAGTGGATGTGAAACAGAGAAGAAGCAATCAAGCAATTAATATATAGAATGACAGCCGAAATAGGCAAGACAAGTAGCCATGCTTACCTCTGAGAGAGAGAGAGAGAGAGAGTGAGTGTTTAAAAGTTCTAAGAACACCGACCTTGAAGCTTTTCGTACAAGGAGAGCACAAAAGTAAAAGGTTCATAAATGAGGAGTCTTTAGCAGCTGACCTATGTTTTTCTCTTTAACTAATAGACTTCAAGAATCATATTCAAAGCTTTCCTAGCACTTTGTCCTAGTATACTTCCCAAAAGACGAGCATTTCCGAATTGAGGCGTAAAATGCTAATACTTAGTGATCCAAAACGAGGTTTGTTAATAGGTCACACTTCAATCTCAGTCCCATCTACATCTCTGGTCTGAGAATCTCATTCGAATATTATCTGATTATTCATACTGTATCAAATAGGATTTGGATTGAATTTTGAACATATTCCTATACAATCCAATGCAATAAAAATCATCGGAAAAATCAAAGTTAAAACAGCAACAACCCCCTTACATCAAAAAAACAGCCAACAACAAATATAATAAAAATCATTGATTCAAAAATATGTATCATTTCAAGAATACCCGGGTGACCGAGTAAATACTCTCAGGTTTCGACCCACTTCTACACAGTCGCTTACTTTATGTACTTCACATAGAGAATCATGAATCATGACCACATCAAGCTTAGTCTTTAAGACATTAAAAAGTAAACAAAAACAAAAGAAAAAGAGGGTTTCTCGAAGCATTTGATTATCCCTACAGACACAAAAGCAAAAGTAGCAGGCAAAATTAGTAAGGAATGTATCAAATCAAAGAGCAGTAAACGACACTGTTTAGCTACTTTTATGGTATTGAACAGCTTCAAAAGCACTAATGGCATTCTGATAGATTTGAGTATCACTTACTTGAAGAGTTCCTCCTATTCGTGAATTCCCACTGTCAGGGAAGTTTTTGGAAATTCCATTGTGAACGTGAAGGTAAGTTTGAATCACTGGGATTTGAACGGCCTAAGAAACTGGTGGTATTGGGACAGTGGGTTAGGAGAAAATATTCAATGTAACGGTTACCCACCGAGTGTAGACAAAATATACTTCTAGTCACTAAAATATGTCTTTTATTATATATTTGATCTTCAATCTTCTAATTATGTTTATTTGCTCTCTAAAGTTTTTAATTTGTATTTAAGTGATCTAATTTCAAATGTCTGAAAATTGTGACAATTTTGTCACTCGTTAAGCACATAGTTTTTAATTTTGTATATATTTAGTCGCACGTGATTGACGTGTGACTAGAGGGATTAATAATTTTTTTCACTATGTTTGAGATTAGACCATATAGATACAAATTAAAAATCTTATGGACTAAATAAATACAATTAAAAGATTGAAGATCAAATAACCACTACACGCATATTTTAAAACTAAAAATATATTTTACCCTAATTGAAAATAAGTCGACAAGTAAACCATATAAAATTCAATAATCTTGTATTCACTTCATATAATAATCATCTCATATAGAAAGGTGGAGTTCGTTTTATATATTTTTAAAAAATTTTATTAGATAATTACACCACATGATATTCATGATGTGGTGTAATGCCACGGGGTAACAACTCGTTTTTCTTTCGAAGCTGTTTGTGAAGGCGTTGTCACTGTAACCAGCCACACAAATCTCAAGAACAGGGACACAAACTCACACAAAGGCACACACGAATTTACTGTGACAACACTCACAAAACCATATTGAAGCTCTCTACAATTTACAAGAAACTCAAAGTAAGAACACTATCTATCTCATTAGAATGCTTAAAGCACCCCTATCCTATCTGTCAAATGGTTGTTACACACAATCTGCCTATTCTCTAGTAGACTTGGTCAACAAAACTGCCTCTTTGTGCGATACCTGGCAAGCAGTTGCACCCATTCAGTAACTAATGTGGAACTGTCGCTTATCAACATGCACCTAGACCAGAATATGGCTAAGGATGCCCAGAACTGCCTCCTTCAGATTAGGCTCTGTATAGCAACTACATTGACTGAGTCATGCCTCAGCAACTGCCCACATCCTCCTGGTCACATGTATTGAGCAACCATGTGCCCACATTCAGCAGTCATCCTTGTCTCACGAACCATTGTGCATGTTAGGTCCAGCTCATGCCATGCAATTCGAAAACTATGCACCCACATTGCCTCAATTGAGTCCACCACATGCTGCCATACTCAGTCGGGTGGTCTCATGCTGCCATGGTCTGCACCAACGTGTCGAACCCTTAGCCGCATCACCTTGATTCCTTCTCATGGCTTGCCTTGGTACAAGGTGCCACCAAAACCGATATTATACACGCAAGTCAATTAGGGTGTGACAAACCACCCCCACTTGAAGTATCCAATGGCCCCACAAAAAACGAGCTGGTGCATGGTGCAATGCTTGTAGCCTGTGTCCCTGATATGATGGCGACCTTGGGACAATAGTAGTCTATTGCCTATGGAGGGGTGAGATAGAGAACCGAATGTTCTACTGCATATGGTGTTACTCGTTTTAAGCAAGGGTTGTTTAACGAGTCAAAGGACAACTTTGTTAAGGGTGTTCATCGAAGGAAGAAGTGTGTTGATCCTGATCAGATCAAGGAAAATTAGGACAACCTCTTGACATGGACGTCAAGTTCTTCTAGTAGGGGGTTTGTTACCTCTTTAGCTTTTGACTCGGTGTTGGCATAGAGCAGTCTCACCCAAAGACACCCATGCCTTAGCCAAATTGAGTTTCGCTTGAAGAAGCAAACCCTTGGTGCAATCAGTGAGTGATTGAAGCCTTATGCATGACTAAGGATGACAACGCATGCATAGGCACGTTGGGCATGACCAGTGGATAATTGAAGACCCATGCATGGCTGAGTGAGGCAACTCATGCATAGTCACAATTGGATGCAATCAGTGGGTGATTAAAGTCCCATGCATGGCTGGGGCATAACAGCTAATGCATGGGCATGTGAGCACAAGTGGGCATGCAAGCAAAGGTTAGTCGGGTGGCTTGATTTGTAGGGTAATGCTAGTTTGGAAGACCAAGCCATGGGTTGGGCAGGGCTAGGCATGAAGACACAGTTAATCAGGTGTTGTGGGCTCGCAAGGAAGGCAGACACACAACATGTGAGACGGTTCCAAACAGTTGTGGCATGTGCCCTGCAAATGGTGGCGATTTCAAATGGTTACCGACATGTGCATTACATACAGGGACATTTTTGTGTAGAATGCTGACATGTGTACATCATAAGGATTGCTGGCATGTGCAATCAGCATGCACAACAGTTACGGGCAGTTACTGGCTGAGTCAGCCAACAGTTACAACTGCCCCTTTCCATGACCAGCAGATGTGGGAGTGGCAGAGGACCTAAACCATCATCATTAGACTATGGATGGCTTTGTGGGCAAATTTGAATTGTCATGCAGTTGCTTAGATGGTTGGGCTTGTAACCGCCAATCTGAATGTTATAAATAACCATGTTTGGGTTTGTAGTGCACCAACAGAGAGTTGAACACATTTTTAAGTAGACCCTAGTTAAGTGTTCCTTTAGGCTTTTATTGAGAAAGAAAAGGTTGGACCATTGGTTTGTAAAGCTTGTGTGTTGTGTGTGAGTTTTCTTGTTTGTCCCTACTTTGTTCGTGTGTGCATTTCTGTGAGCGTTTTGAGTGCTTGGTTGAGACTAAATGTGAATCTCAGTGCCATCACGAGACAGAAATTTGAGTGAGAAATTTGACCCTGTGACATGTAACCATTACATTGCATACTTGCTCTTCGGATACATTGCATGAGTTTAATACATTACAATTGTTCCACATTAATTTTTTTTGTGTTCAAAATATTGTACGATAATTCTATGAATATGTTATCAAACATATTTTTATTGACATAACTGCTGGTGTTAATGTTGAATTTCAATGAATTAGGTAACCTAATTAGTTCATAAGATTAAGTCTAAATAGTACTAATGTAATCAAGGGGCTCAGGAAAAAAAGGGGGGGCTCAGAAGGAAAATAATTATTCTGTGAGAGAAGCAAGAAGGTCAATCTCTTTTCAAATATACAATATGCAATGTAGTTGGACTCTTATGTTGATTCGAATGAATTATTTTTTCTACAGAAGTAAATTTTTACTTACTAGGCAAGAGGATAATAAATTACAAATTCTGTCTCGATAGAACATGTATTTTTATTATTATGGAATTTATAAATAAAATAGTTAATGGTGAGATTATCATTATCCTTTTTATAGGAACGAGATATCACCAAGAGTTTTAATATTTATTTTGATTCCACTAACTAACCATTAGTTAAGTTTGATGATGTACAAAACGTGTTTATGTATCACTTGTCAAGTATTAAATGAAACAATAAATGATGACGGTCAACACAGACAAAACACAGTTTAAGTGGTTCGGCTATGGTGACCTATTCCATTGTGACGGACGAAGATGACCTAAGTATTTTATTACTCAAAGAGTGTAAAGACTAGAGTGCTCATATACGAGTAAGATGTGAGAGATGCTTTTCTTGTGTAAGTGGGGTTTATAATTTATAAGGGTTTCCTAACAGATTGAAACGTCTTTCTCGTATCTAAGGGTGTTCAAATTTTCAATTACTCATAAATTTCAACCCTATCCGACTTTATTAATCGGCTACCCGAAAGAATCGGGTAAGCCAACAGAAGATTTTATTGTTATTCTGCGAAAAAATTGAATAAGAATGTAGAATACTTACAAAATTTTCATATTCTTATCCTACAGTATATATATATATATATATATATATATATATATATATATATATATATATATATATATATATTAAAAATCTAATGTTTTATTGATATTTTTGACTTTCTTGTTGTGTTTTATTATAATTGTTTATATATTATCAAATTTATTGTGTGCTTTTAGTGTTATTGGTTTATTGTGTTAGTTAAATGGTGCATATTACTTAATTAAATTATTAAAATGATTTAAAAATTAATAATTAAAAAATATGTGTTTACCCGATTTCCTACCCAATTTTTTTGGACAGAATTCAGGTAAGAATAGTATATTTGATTGGGTAGGGTAGACTAAGAAATTTTTTTCCGTAAAATATCAAGTTGGAAGATGCAATTCTATAATTCCTACCCATAGGATAAGGTGAACACCCCCTACTCGTATCAAGCGAGATAGTTTGGTGGAGGTGACATCCTTCTCATAATAGGCGAGACAATTATGCGGAGGTGGTGATGTGCGCGTTCCAAGGAAATTCCTTTGCATGTTAGTTGTGGATTGAATCTCTCACCTTCAAGCGATTGATTTAACTCTCTTAAGATAACGTGGTTGACTTGACCTGACTCTTTTTTTCTCGTGATAGATCTGATCTGCATTCTTAAATTAGATTTGATATGTGATTTTGAGCCCGATCTATAATTTTGAGCCTAATCTGAACTGAGCCCATCAAAGTTTATTCGATTCGAGGAGTTAGGGTTATAACCAAAATATGAAGAAAAAAATTAAACGAATCAAGGTTCATGAATATTAACAGGGGAATTGGATTTCTTCTTGTGTTATATGTTTTCCTGATTTTTTTTACTTCCTCTAAATTTTCTGGTAATTATACAAGTCCCCCTCTTAGTTTCTTATGCCCCAAGCCTTAGCCGTTTTTTGCGAAGCCTCGAACTCAGAAGTCTTAATTTACTTCCCTGTCTGGCTGTCTGTCTCTCTCTCTCCTGTAGATTTCCACCTGTTTAGCTCATCGATCGGTCCGGCGCACTTCGACTTTCAATTCTTGTAAGTATGTGTGTTCGTACTATTGAAATCAAGTACATCCTCTACCTTTTCCCAATTTCAATATGTATCTAATAATAGGAACCCTAAATCATTATTATTTATATCTATGACGGTTCCCTACTCGAAATTAATTTATTTTAATTTCAAGTTTTAGCAGATTGTGTTGATCTAATGGGGGTATTTGTTAGTATTTTGATCTGACTAGGTTAATTCGGACTCAAAGATGTCCAAGGTAGCAGTAGATGTTCCTTCAAAGGGTGGGTTCAGTTTCGATTTGTGTCGGAGGAATGAAATGCTAACGAAGAAAGGTCTTCAGCCTCCGTCTTTTCTCAAGACTGGGACTACTATTGTCGGTCTCATTTTCCAGGTATGTGATTATTTTACAACTTCTCTCTGTAAGAATTATTTAGTTTATCGTTTTATGTGGAAAAAGTGATGCAAATTATTCAAAGGCGTTAGCTTGGTATTGGAATTTGATGTTGTAGGGTTGATTTCTTACCTTTGTGTAATTGAAGAATTTTAGCAGGGTAAATGTTCAAGGAATTTGTTGGCCATTGTAAGTTTTTTATTGGAGGTTGTTGGGGGGGGGGGGGGGTTGAGAATGATTTCTATGTGATTTATTGGCATGGAATTCTGTATTGGACTGCTATAAGTACAAATGTTTAAGTGTTGGAAGAAAGTGTTGAAGACTAATGCAGCAGATGCAGATGCAGGAACATCAATGCAGCTGCAGAACATAATGAAGCAATGCAGCAGCAGTACAGAACACATGATGCAGCTGCAAGCCTCACTTGGTTAGAGTTAGTTAGGCTGAGCAGGCAGATTAGTTAATTGTAGTTAGTTAGAGTTAGTTAGGAGTTCATCATTTATCTCCATGTAATGTATAGATATGGCAGTAAACATTGTATATAAATAGGTGTAATTGTTCGAATCAATTCAATGAGAAATATCTTATTTTCTCTAATTCGGAGATCTATTCTTCTCCAAGTCTCTTCTTCTTCACTTCTTAACATGATATCCGAGCTCTTCTAGCTTTCACTATAATTTTCTTTCTTCAATGGCGTCTAATTCAGCAGTTACCCATACCCAGACTGCTACCTCTTCAACCTCGATTGAGGACTTTTCTCATCCATTTCATCTCCATCATGGAGATAGTCCAAGTGCTCTACTAGTTTCTCTACCTTTAATAGGAGAGAACTATAATTCTTGGAGTAGATCTATGTTCATGTCCTTGAGTGCTAAGAATAAGATTACTTTCATCTATGGAACCTCTGCAAAGCCTACTGATCAAATTGATCCTTTGTATCATTCATGGATTCGTGGCATTAACATGATAATCTCTTCGATTCTGAGCACATTATCGAAGGAGATAGCATAGAGTGTTCTTTATTTCAATTCTGCAAAAGAAATTGGGGAAGAACTCAAGGAGTGGTTTTCACAAACCAATGGACCAAGGATCTACAAGTTGCATAAATCTATTTCTTCTCTTCTATAAGAGCAACTTTTTGTAAGCTCTGACTACACTTAGCTCAAAGGATTTTGGGATGAGTTGAACAATTACAGGCCTTTACCAGTTTTTACTTGTGACGCTTTGAAGACATTGATTCAATTTTAGCAACAAGATTACGCCATTCATTTCTTAATGGGCTTGAATGACTCATTTTCCAATATTCGAAGTCAGATCTTGTTACAAAATCCTATACCTCCAATTAACGAAGTCTTCTCTCTTATTCTACAAGAAGAAAGACAATGAAAAATTGTCTTCTCTGCAATTTCTACTATGGATTCTACTGCTCTTTTGAGTAAGTTTAATTCATCAAATCAACAGAAATTTGGGAAATTGAATCCTAACAAGTCACAGTCTCAACCTATTTGCACTCATTGTGGAATGCAAGGACATACAGTGGATAAATGTTACAAGCTCCATGGCTAGGATTTTGTTTTTCCAAAGGAAAGAACAACTCCAAAGCTGCAAATCAAGTGGCCAGTGATGGTCAGATTGATATGAATTGTCCAGTTCCAGTTGGTAAAACCAGAGAAGCTTCTTCATCTATGCCAGTAACTCGAGCAAATCTGGTAGTTACTCAGTCTTCTACAAACTCAGAATTCATACCCTTATCAAGCCTCGGTAAATCAAGTCATCAATCCTCATTTTGAGTACTCCTTTAATGTGTCAGGTGAGGATTCTTCTGCATGTTTTGCTTTAAACAATTTCTCACAACATGATTCTTCATGTTCATCTCCATGGGTCATTGATATTAGAGCAACAGATCACATAGTCTGTTTAGTCTCCTTTTTATCCATTGTTTCTTCAGCTTGTAACACCTCAGTAAAATTTTCTGATGGAAGTGTAGTTGCAGTCAGTCATGTAGGTACACTTAGAATTTCTGATTCTCTTCTGCTAAATGATGTGCTTTGTGTACCTTATTTCAAATACAATCTCCTTTCCATTAACAAATTAACACAATTACTTACTGTTTGTTTCATTTTTCTTCATGGATACTATTTTATACATGACCTCTCAACATGGACAATGATTGGCATGGGTAAAGAAAGGAGAGGCTTGTAATTTCTGCAACTACCAGATGCTTCACATTCTTTTCTTGCTTCAACAATAGATTCTTCTTCAAATTTCTCCTCCGTTCAGTGTAACACAGAAGTGTCTACACATCTTTGGCATTTTTGTTTGGGCCATCTTTCTCCACAAAGATTAGCTTCTTTGCATAAGATAGTACCTGAAATTTCACACTAGTGATTCTCATTGTAGTATTTGTCATTTTGCTAAGCAAAGTACATTGTCCTTACCAATTAGCAATCTAAAACGATTGGTTCTTTTGAACTCATTCATTGTGATATATGTGAGCCTTATTGATGTAGGACGGGAAGACTAGAAATCAGCGAATAAAAAGAGAAAAAGAGAGAAGGGGGTGGAAGGGATTTACCTCATCCTCATAAGAAATCGATCAAGAAACACACAAATCTCTGCAGAGAATATTCAATTCTTATTCATAATCTCTATAAAAAAATAGTTGGGATTGCACCATTATTATTTATAGGTCAAGTTCCCTACCAAAATAAAAATTATTCTCCTACTAAAATTCTAAAAGAGTTTTATAATCAAACTCTTAAACTTCTATACTACTAAAACTCTATAACAATTTTTTAGTCAAACTCGAATTAATATTTCAAACAGATATTTCCTAACTAATATAATAATACTAAAACAAATAATAAAATTCTAAAACAAATAATAAAATTCAATTTTTCAATTTAAACTCATCCAATTTCTTTTCGATTTCTATCAATTCTCCCCAGCTGAAAGAACTCTTATAGCAAAAATACTCTTAAGAGAATTGACATCAGATGGTGAAACACGTGTTCAAATTTAATAGCATAGAAGTAAGATCTCCCTTCAATGACATAATATAGGATATCCCTACGGGAGGAATCTATATCTCGAATTTTCATAACCTTCATACTTTGTTCCGGATAAAAGGATGGTGATGATATTGACAAAAAAGTAGCAACCCCATCTAAACAAATCACGCTTGAAACTTGCTCAACTTCATTTGTAATTAACTTATCAAAAACAATTGTTGTAGGATGACTATAAGTAAAACTTTTAGGCTCATCAACATTGAATGACTTCGGTTTATTGCCATTCAATCAGATTGAAACTTGTAATGGTGGAATTTGTGGTGGTGGAACTTATGGTATACTTGTAGGGCTGTGGTCAACAACTTTTTGATTGACAGTTGAAGAGACAAAGTTAAAATCTTCACTTGTTTTGGTTTCATAAACTGTAGCGAGCACAAGTTCTCTTAGTGAATTGATGAATGCTTAAATTGTATCTAGTCTAGTATTCATGGCCTTTTGTGAATTATCATGTTCTTAGGATAAAGCCTCCACTTTTGCATTTAACTTAGGGTTAGAGACCATATTGATTGGAAGAGAGTTTTAAGAATTTTTTTTGAAAATTCTATGGTCAATCTATGATTTCAGAGGCAAAACTATAATTTATGAAACTTTAGAGGCCAAACTATAATTTCAAAAATTTTTGGGAGTGAAAGTGTAATTTTAGTGGTGTGTTGGCTCAGATAGTGGACTAATTGGGATGTTCTAATATATTTTTTTTAACTAAAAACAATCAAGTCAAGTTGGGTTAAGCTTTGTGACCTAGCAAACTAGAAGTCTTCTTCATGTCAACTTGGTCAAACCCTACGAACTACTACAACCAATATCGATGTATAGTCAAAATGAAACCTGATATACTATGTAGCGACCCAAATCTACTGTAATATGCCCAAAAATTGTCGATAATAGTCGAAAATGATGACAGAAGACAGAGTTGTAATGGCATGTTGGGGTCACCACAAAACAGTGGTAACACTAATGAAAAACCAGGAAACTGATGAACAGTGACAAAGGGCACGTCTAATGACCAATTGAGCACAATGAAAAAATAGCAGTGACAATGGATCAAAGTTCGGCTCTGATATCAAATTGATGTAGGACGAAAAGGAATAGAAATCAGAAAATAGAAAGAGAAGAAGAAAGAAAGGGGTGGAAGGGATTTACCTCATCCTCGCAAGGAATCGGTAAAGAAACATACAAATTTCAGTAGAGAAAACTAAATTCTTATTCATAATCTCTCTAATAAAAATAGTTGGGATTACACCATTATTTATAGATTAAGCTCCCTACCAAAGTAAAAACTATTCCTCTACTAAAATTCTCAAAAAGTTTTATAATCAAACTCTTAAACTCCTATACTACTAAAACTCTATAATAATTTCCTAATCAAATTTTAATTAATACTCCTTGTCAAACAGATATTCCTAACTAATATAATAATACTAAAACAAATAATAAAATTCAATTCTTAAATTTAAGTTCATCCAATTCCTTTTCGATCTCTATCAATTATTCTACCCCTTCTCTTAATGGATCTCATTACTTTCTTATAATAGTCGATGACTACTCTAGATGTACTTGGATTTACTTGATGAAGTCTAAGTCTGAAACTAAATACCAGCTCATTTCTTTTTATGCTATGGTGGAAACTCAGTGTCATGCTAGAATCAAGACTATTAGATCTGAAAATGGACAAGAATTTGTTATGTCTTCTTTCTTTGTCTCTAAAGGAATACTTCATCAGTTAAGGTGTGTTGACACAACAAAACAAAATGAGGTTGTGGAGAGAAAGCATCAACATCTTTTAAAGGTGGCTAGAGCACTTAGATTTTAAGCCAATCTTCCACTTTCTTTTTGGGGGGATTGTGTTTTAACTGTTGCTTACCTTGTAAATAGACTCCCCACACCTTTTCTTTCTGGGAAATCACCACTTGAAGTTTTCTTTTTTAAAACACCACGTTACTCTCACCTAAAAGTCTTTGGTTGTCTGTGTTATGCTTCCACACTCGAGCAACGTAGATCCAAATTTAATTCTCGAGCCAAACAACATGTCTTTATTCTAACAAAGCCTACAAATTGTTTGATCTAAACACTAACTTAGTGTTTATTTCCAGATATGTCATTTTCTATGAAAATGTCTTTCCTTTTTTTGGCAGCAGTGTAGCACCCTCATTTGGTGCAGCATCTGCTTCTAGAATAGATTCAGTGGTCTTACCATCTTTGATTTCTGATCCTAATCCTTCTGTTCCTGTCTTAGAACCTACTTCTGTTTCAGAAGCAGAATACAATGAAGTCTCAGATGTTTCCTTTGTATATTGACTCTTCTATTAATCTACTTCTATTCCTAATATTCCTAGACACTCGACCAGACTTAGGAAAGCTCCTAATTATTTACATGATTATCATTGCAACCTTCTCTCTTCTCACACATCCCATTCTACCTCCATGGTTGTTGGTTCCAAGTCTTCAGGTTCTTCTCATGCTCTTTCTCAGTTTGTGAATTATCTCCTTCTCACAGAGTTTTTAGTCTTGCTATTTTCTGTCAACAAGAACCTCAGTTTTCTCATGAAGCTGTTAAAACTCCTGAGTGGTGTGAGGCTATAAATGCTGAGATTAAAGCTCTTGAATCAAACAATACCTGGACTATCACCTCTCCCCCTCCAGGTAAACAACAAATAGGTTGTAAATGGGTTTATAAAATCAAATATAAAGCAGATGGCACCATTGAAAGGTATAAAGTCTGGTTGGTTGCTAAGTATTAGACTATTTGGAAACCTTTTCTCCTGTGGCCAAATTTACTACCATTCAATGTCTTTTGGTTGTAGCTGCTGTCAAGGGTAGGCATTTGTTTCAAATGGATGTTCATAATTCTTTTATTCATGGTGATTTAGAGGAGGAGGTCTGCATGAAGATTCCTCCTGGTTATGACAAAAGGGGGACAATTTGGTTTGTCATCTGATCAAATCTCTTTATGGTCTTAAGCAGGCTTCTAGACAATGGTTTTCCAAATTGTCCACTGCTATGCTTGGTTATGGGTTCTCTCAGGCCAAATCAGATTACTCTCTTTTCATCAAGACAGCTGGTTCTGGTTTTATAGCTTTATTAGTCTATGTGGATGATATTGTCATTTCCATTGACGATCTTAATGCTGCTGCAGAACTTAAGTATTTTCTTCATAGTCAGTTTCATCTTAAGGATCTTGGTAATTTAAATTTATATTTGGGCCTTGAAATTGCAAGATCCTCTAAGGGAATTTCTATTTGTCAAAAGAAATTTGCCCTTGAAATATTACAAGATTTTGGTCTACTTGATTCCAAACCAGCTCATTCCCCTATGGAACAAGTGGCAACACCTCAAGCTTTCCAAGGATTCTGGTTCTCTTTTACCATCCCCTTTTGTTTATAGAAGACTGACAGGTAGATTGTTATCCTTGACCCTCACAAGACCTGATCTCTCCTTTGCTGTCCAAGTTCTGAGTCAATTCATGGATAAGCCTAGGCAGTCACATCCTGAAACAGCATTCAATTTCTTGAGATATCTCAAAAATTCCGCAGGGTCTCTTTTTCTCAGCAACATCCGTTTTTCATCTCAAAGGCTTTTGTGATGCAGATTGGGCAGGATGCCCAAACTCCAAGAAGCAGGCTAGCTGACACATAATACAGAGTCATGGTTGCTTGTGCGTGTGAGATGAGATCACTTGGCTCATTGCTCTCCTTCATGATCTTCAGATTTCTCACTCTACCCCTGCTGTGACAACAAGGCAGCCCTTCACATTGCGGTCAAACCTGTTTTCCATGAATGAACCAAGCACATTGAGCTTGAATTTCATTTCATAAGAGATTAGATCCAGACTGGTCTTCTCAAGACTCTTCATGTTACTTCAATTCATCAGCTAAGTGATATCTTCACTAAACCCCTTGGTATTCAACAATTCAGTGTTTGTTAGGCAAGATGGGAGTTCTCAATATTCACTCTCTGTCTTGAGGGATACTGTTGAAGACTAATGAAGCTGCACAACAATAAAGTTGCAGAACAATAAGGCAGGAGATGCAGATGCATGAATATCAAAGCAACTGCAGAACATAATCAAGCAGTGCAGCAGTACAGAACACATGATGCAGATGCAAGCATAGAAGAAGACTTAGTCGGTTAGAGTTAGTTAGGCTGAGCTGGCAGATTAGTAAATTATAATTAGTTAGAGTTAGTTAGGAGTTTGTTATTTATCTCTATGTAATGTAGGGATATGACAGTAACATTGTACATAAATAGGTGTAAATTGTTCAAATCAATTCAATGAGAAATATCTTCTTTTCTCTAATTCTGAGATCTCTTCTTCTCCAAGTCTCTTCTTAACAGAGAGAGAGAGAGCGATTGAGAGAGATGGCTTAATTACGAAATTGGATGGACCAAAAAATTAGCACATCGAGAGGTCCTATGCCACCTTACTTGAGAGCTTTGTCATGTATGCTGCGGAGATCTTAAATTGCATGTATTTATTGTAATTATGACCACTTTTCATCTTCACTGGGCTTTACTTGATAAATATGAACCAAACAAGGATTAAAATTTCGTTTCGGTGTGTTGTTTCGGTCACCTAGGAAACGGAAACGTTTCGACTTGTTTCGTAAACGTTTTAATCCGTTTTGGAAGTATAATGAAAAAAATAAAAAATTTAAAAATTATTTTTTTAAAACATTGATTGAAATATATCAAAATATCTAGAAATACGTTGAAATATTTTGAAATAATTGTGCAAATGCATTGAAATATTATAAAACATCTCAAAACATCATGGAATAACTTGAGATATTAGAATTTCGATTTCATCACTGTTTTGTTTCGGTCTCCTTGAAAACAGAAACGTTTCGGATGTTTCAACTGTTTTGAAACGATATTTTGATCCTTGGAACCAAGTAGCAGCAATTTCAAGTGACAACATACCCTAGCTACTTTTTATTTACATCTTTCACTTTGCTTTTCCTGGATCCCAAATTAATGATAGAGTGGGCGTCCGACAAGCAGCGGATAGGCACTAATCCTTGAAAGATTCGATTCAAACAAAACGAGTGGTTTTCCTTCCGATTGATTACCTAAATGGTTCAGTGGATAGTTCATTCTGGTTCAAACATTGCTTTGTTGAATTCCCTCTGATCTTTACTTCATAAAGTCTTTGCAGTGGAATAATGGTGCTGTGTGAGAAACACTTTATTAACTTGTCTTTGATTATTTTCTAATCGTATCTTTAGGATGGTGTGATTCTTGGAGCTGATACACGTGCTACTGAAGGACCCATAGTTGCCGATAAGAATTGTGAGAAAATTCACTACATGGCTCCAAACATATATTGCTGTGGAGCAGGGACTGCTGCTGATACAGAAGCAGTGACAGGTATCTTTCCCGACTTTTGTGTTCTCTGTGAAGGTATGTGGTGTCATGCACAGGACACGAGAATGTAGTGCGTGTTAGAGAGAGAGAATTCGAGTGTGATTTCTCAACTAGAGTGAAAATTTCTTGAAAAAACACATTCCAGAGCAGCGCCAAGAGATGCAGATATGAAAAGATGTATATGGGCATTGACGTATATGTAATGGATACATATCTATACCATAGAACCGTATGACAAAAGCACATGTAGCCTGACAGAGTTGGAGTATATGGAGTAAATATGTGATGAGGGTTCAACTCCCCTCTGCCGACATGCTGACACATTCTTGGCTTAAAATAAGTGGCACCTTCTTGTGTAAAATTGTGCCTTTGAATTTAACATCTATTCCTTAAATCTGTTCATTGGAGAGGAGTTCACTCCTCTACCCAACGAACTAGGTATTATGCATGTCTTTTCGTAGTTGATGTTTTAGTCATGCGTTGACAACCCCAATATCCATTGCGCTTTTAGACATGGTCAGTTCGCAGCTGCAGCTACACCGCTATCATACTGGTCGTGAATCAAGGGTTGTAACAGCTCTTACACTTCTGAAATCTCATCTTTTCAAGTAAGCCTATATTTTTTGGACGTGGTTGTCATTAGAAGTAGCAGTGTTTGATGTCTAAGCAGTTATGCATTAAAAAGCCTGACTCTGTTGTGTCACTTATTTAGCTACCAAGGTCATGTCCAAGCTGCATTGGTGCTCGGTGGAGTTGATATCACAGGCCCCCATTTGCACACTGTGAGTCACCTAATTTACTGATATCCCATGCTTCATTTTCATGCAAAAAACTAACTAGTGTTATCAACTGTATAATATCACAGATCTACCCTCATGGATCAACGGACACTTTGCCATTCGCTACAATGGGATCTGGTTCTCTTGCTGCAATGGCTGTCTTTGAATCAAAATACCACGAAGGACTGAATGTAAGTTCATTCAGTGCAGTTAATTATAAGTGCTGGAACTCATGGACAATTTGACCAATCTGACTTATTTCTAAACCACTCATTTTTTCATACCTAGTTTTACTTCAGGTGTAGATCACATTATTTAGTTCTCAAGACTAGTTTGTGGGGGTATGTTTCTCAATTATGTTAGTGATGATGGAGTGTCCTTTTTCTTTTCACCTATTTTTTGTTGACAGAGGGATGAAGGAATAAAGCTCGTAGCCGAGGCTATCTGCTCTGGCATATTTAATGACTTGGGAAGTGGAAGCAATGTGGATATCTGTGTTATTACTAAGGTTTGTTCTTAAAGAGGATGAGAATTTTCACACTTTATTCTTGTGTTTTTATGCATAAAATTTGTGAGGACTGAGGAGTGCCTTGTATACTTCTTTGACAATGCTGGCTTTTCCAGGGACACAAGGAGTACCTGAGGAACCACATGTTGCCAAATCCTCGAACCTATGTCAGTTCACAAGGTTACACATTTTCTAAAAAGACAGGTTAGTAAATCTCTCCTAGTAGCTTGCATTTCAGAAGTCATAGCATTAGCAATTGTATCGTTTGCTAGATTTATGGATTCTTTCTTTTACATACCATACGGCAGCCTAGATATTTGAATTGTTTAATTGTTGGTTTAAAAGGAAGTCAGAGTTGTTAATTCCGTTAATATCAATCACTTGAAGCAAACTTTGTTCTTAGCTATTCTTTGTCTCGTGTTTGTTACCTCATAGTTACGAGGCCAGAATACCACGCATCTACGTGGTTTCCGTTTAAGGAAATTACTTATTTCTGGATGATATTATTATATGCATAATGACTGTACACATATTGGAGATAGGCAATTATTTTCATCTATGACTAAGTTGCTGGGTGGGACTAATGATGAGTTTAAAACAGGGAAAGGATAGCTTAGGGATTGAGGATTAGATTTTTAGGTTTTTAGATGCTTTAGGTTTAATTACTTGGTATTAAAACTTCAATTATTATGCTCTTTTATTTAGAATGATAGTATTGGATCCCTGTGGAACTGCCTGTAAATAAACTTGTGTAATTGATTACAGTTTTTGGCATGGTGAAAAATGGTATTGAATTGTCAACTGGGAGTTTTCTCTGTACGGCATCTCTTTTCCTGTTTTTCCTTGGCCTTTCTTCTGCTCTATTCTCATCTCTCTTCTTCCTTCTTTTCTTCTCTCTTTCTTTTTTCTGGTTTTCTCCCTCTCTTGGCTTCTCTCTCTGCCTTCTTCTCTTCCCCATCCTTCCTTTTCTGGCTTTGTGATTCTATCTTAATTATGGCCTACATCAACTAAGTTTATGCAGCTCATGGATGGTGATATCATTAATATGCTAGTGGCCAGTTATTTGAATCCAGACACAGCTTTACTTTCTAGTGTTTCTGCAGTTAACGGGCCTTTGGTCCAATGGTACTCCTTACTTTGTGAAGGCTTTGCCTTCTTGAGGTCAAGAGTTCAAGTCTCCCCTCCTCCTCCCCCTCTCCCCCGTCCAAAAAAAAAAAAAGTGTTTCTGCAGTTGTCAACTTTAATTTTTATGCAAGGACTGAGAATAAATAAAGCTCCCTCTCTATTCTGCCTACAAAGTGATACATTCCTTGGTGCCTTTTGGGATGCATTGAAACACTGTAGTTTTGTTCTGCTGTGATTGCAGAGGTTCTGCTGACAAAGATCACACCATTGAAAGAGATGGTGGAAGTGACTGAAGGAGGAGAGGCAATGGAAGAATGAGTTGTGGTTAAACTTTGCTTAGTAACTTTTGTATGAATTTTTTTTCACATCTATTGCTCTATGTTTCATCTTGTACTCAATATAAAAAAATGTTTTAATTTACAATCAATATTGCCTCGGATTGTTTTATTACTTTGTTTTAAGTTGGTCTGGGATTATCTTGCGGTCCTCTGTCATAATTTGGGTGTGAGATCTGTGTTGGTAGTTGGTACTCTTGTTTCTTCGATATGAAACAGTGACCAAGCTGGACAATTGGACTATCCGGAGTGCTAACCTGGTCCTTATTCACGAAACCTCTCAAAAACGTTAGCTTCGTCAGTTCGTTTATTTATGCTTTTTATTGGGATTCCTTTGGCTTACAGCTTACAGACGTAATTGGATCCCTTTATGTTCCTTTTGTGAGCATTGTTTTAAAATTTAGCCAGGCCTGGCAGGTTAATCCGGTGAACCGGAGCCTAAACTGGTCCGGTTCAACTATTAGGTCGTTCGTGAAGAATTTGCTGAACCGGCCGATTTTGTAACAAATCCGCTGCCCAGGACGGGTTATATCCAACTGGACGGTTTAATTTAAAAGCTATAAAAACTAAATTCTAGGGCATTTTTGCTCAAAAATTCATTTCGTTTGCTCTGGACAATCTCTAGTTCAGGGCCTTTAGTTCTTCAATGAGCGAGCTACAAAACTCAAATAGTAGATCTTCCAAACTTTGACTCACAAGCTACAAAGTATCTATATACTTATCTCTCAGTCCCAAGTATTACGTTTCTCTCTCTCTCTATCTGTTGATCGACAGTCTGCAATTATGATGTTATCCATGGTAAGTTTGAAGTTGATTATGATATTAGGTGTTGGAATTGGAAGAACAATTTTTTTGTAAAATCCATGGTAATTTTGTAGTTGATTACGATATTAGGTGTTGGAACTTTGGTAGAATTGGAACTTTGGAATTGGAAGAACAGATTTTTTTCAAGAGCAGAAATCGAACTTTGGAACCTTGGAAGTGTCTAACGGCAGACATATTTTTTCAAGACTTAACAGCAGATTTTTCTTTTTAAATCCTTTGTATAATTGTAAATTGTAATGCACATGCTTGAATGTAGATGTTAAACATTGAATCATTCATTTTAGTTATTTGATATGGGATACATGTTTGATGATTTGGGTATTTTTTGTTTGATTTATTTGACCGGTTTGATCAGTGACTCAACGGTTGAACTAGTAACCCGGTTAATGTCCGAACCCATTTTCAAAACTATTTTTGTGAGTGTTGATTTATTCGGCTGAGACCTCCTGGTGTCACTTAGATTATGTCGATTTCATAATAACTATTTACTTGTGTAGTATGTGAAATCACTTCTAATATCTGAGCTCATCGCATGCTATTGTTAGTCTTTGCAGACAAGGAATGGCTCGGTGGCCCGATTAGTCCATATCCTTTACTTCTCCTTGCTGCAAAGAATCACTGTAATGGCAAAGTCCCTTCGAATGATCAGTAAGCTTTTTACTTCGTATTAGTTCTTTACAGTGTTCAAAGAATAATCCATGAACTACATAGAAGCTTTCGGTTAAGAAAGCTTTGGTTCCTTATCTGAAGCTTCACTAGCTGCTCCTGTCAATTTGGAACTTCTATATTCCAAAGAAGTTCTTTACAATTGAATCCACTATCGATCCAATGGACAGAAATGATTTTGTACTATCCATACTTCTAGTACTGTTAACAATTTTGTACCACTGGCTTCCCGGATCGCACGAGTTCTCTCTGCTCAAACATTTGCAGGCATTAGTAACAAGAGTGTTGCTGGAATCTACATCTAAGCAGACGGTAGTGCCATCGTCGAGCTTCGATGTGAGGTGCATCTTAGAGTTGGAAATGGTTTCCCATTTTGAACTACTATCTGTGCATATTATTCCCAGTTTTGCTGGCTGCCCCAACCCTACTGCTTGCAGGCAAAAATATGTTCCCTTTATTGTTAGTGTTTTCTGAGTAGTGTAGCTCCAAGCCTCGGCCTCAGAGCATGGACCTAGATACAATGGTTCAAACAGAGAATTTCTCTTGACGCAGAGGCCTGTTAGAGGATGGAAAATAATTTTGTATGGACGAGCTCTTGAAAGACCTGGTCCTGCATTTCAAGTAAATTACACACAATCTTTAGTGATCTCTAGAACACATCTCAATGCCCAAACTTAACTTGAATCTTTGCCCAATTTCTGTACCCCGACCAAACTCGACCTGAGTTTCAGCGCGAGTTACATCACTCAAGAATCAAACTAGAATTTCAATTTGAGTTGTATAAGTCACGATGGACAATTTCTCTAGTTGAAAATCGAATTTGAGTTCAGATCGAACTCTTGTAGAGTGTTTTATACTTGGTTTGAGCATTTGAACGCAAGTTAGTCTATCAACCAATTCAACTTGCTCAAGTTGCGCCCATATTTCTATGAATTCAAATTGATAATAATAATAAGAGTAAATAATACATATAGCCCTCAAATTATGATCTTTGTGTTAATTAGTCTTTGAATTTTTTTATATGAATTAAACACCTGAATTTTTTAATTGTATCAATTGAGCCCTTCTATCTGCTTCTGCTAGTTTTTTTAATGGAAGTGGAGTAAACTACACATATGGTCCTTTGTCTTCACATGAGTGGAGGCACACTATAACGGATGTAGAAGAGCTCAATTGACACACAAAAAAAAGTTCACAAGTTTAATTGACACAAATGTCATAGTATGAGGGTCATATTTGTAATTTACTCTAATAATAATAATTGAGGAGGAGAGGTCTGTATATTATTGTTTTCATGAAAGTGGATGCTGGTATACCTTGAAAAGGAGATTGGAGAGTACTGATCCTATCCAACATGCTTGAATTGCGAACTTCACACCAATTCCAATTCAAAATGCCATAGAACTCATTCATTCCAATCACCCCTTCTCTATAATAATAACTCCCCACCATTGTCCACAGTGCCCAATCCCAGTCATGTTCAGCTGCCACACCCATGAAGCAATTCAAGTACCTATTGTCATTCACATTAGTACCCCTTTGGTCTACCCCAAACTCACTCACAAACAAGGGGTACCCTTGGTCCAACACAAAACCTGCTCTCCTCATCAAGTTATTGACCACCTCCCCACACACTTCGTTAGGATTGCCGGTTTCCCAAGCCTTCGAGTCAGCGAAACTGTACCAATGCACCTCGAAAACTAGCTTGTCGGAGAACGACAAGTTCACCGGTCTCTTGAGAAGGAACGAGAGATCTTTGTCGTAATTCAACCCAGAGAGAATAACAAGGACATCTGGGTTTACTGCGTGCACTGCCTCGGCTCCTTTTTGCATGTACCTAGCTCATTTCATGTGGAGCATTTAAATTAGATACTTGCATAGGCTATTGCATGGTATAGTGTAAACTATGCCGGGCCAATATTTCCCTCTCGCTTAGTCTAATGAAAGCCCATGGACCATGGGCTGGCCCCCTAATCTGGTAGCCCATCGTGTCACCAATGACCCGGCCCATTACTGGGCAACCCGTGTGTTGCCCATTAGGGGGCCAATTGATGTCAGCCAATGCAGTCTGGCATATTGGCTCGACAAAATTAGAAAGAACATATAGTTGGTAAAATTCAAAAAAGAAATTGAAAATTTTAAACTCATTAGGCCGACGACAGGTATGGTTCAACGGGCTGGCCATGGTTTTTTTTTTTTCGGGCGGGGTAGCCTCCAAACCCGTTTTCGATCAGTAATTACTACTTAATATATGTTATATGTGCAAGTGCAGCAACTTTATTTAGTCATTCAATAAGATTTGAGTATATACCTGTACCAGTCAGTAACATTCTGTTTGGCCCCTCGGAGTTCATTCCTCAAGCTCATGGCGACCACATTGGAAATGCCATTGAACAGGGTAGCTACCTTTGTTAGACCATTGAGCCAGACGTCAGGGCTAAAGTACTGGTCACCAAAGAAGCCATTGCCGTCGAAGTTACTACAACACCAGCCTGGTTTGCTTATGTGGTTGTCTAGTACCACCATCACATTGTTGGTTGCTAGGCTAGATACCACTTCCTGGTATATAATTTCTTGATTAGATAATAAACAATATATGAGTGGGTTGTTTGGCTGCCCCCTTTTTTGACTTTAATGTAGTTATCTCATTTGATAAGAACATGTAACACTTTTACAACCATAGAATATTTAGGTAGCTGGATGAATAGAAATGTCGTGGTTAATGTTTTTTTTTTTTTTGGTCAGATCATCCGGTATCCGAAAGTAATCACTTTGGGCTCTGACTAATCCGGATTCAAGTTAAGTAAGACCACAAGGGCGACAAAGTGGTATGATCAGCATCATGATCACTTGGCTGAGGTGAAAGATCGTTTACGATTCAAACAAATCAAGTTACAACTCAATATATAATAGTACGGGGACTAAATTTTAATTAAATAATTACTTTTTATATGATGAGCATACTTGACAATGACTAAATTGAAACTGAATGATTACTTTTTATATGATAGTAGTAGGATATTTCCCTAGTCACTATCACCACCACCTAACTCTTATCATATTCCATGCCATGACTTATCAAGCACAGTCTGTCTTCAATCAGTTTGAATCTTCTCAAATGCAGTTCTCTACTTAATGGATCACCTTATCTCAATATAAAAAAGTCCTCTCATTAAATGAACACCATAGACTCATAAAGTTTGCCATAAACTTTTAGCCATTCTTTTCAAAAATACACGGATATATTATAAGATTTTAATCCTGCATATTGAAAGAGTCATTTTGTTTTTATTTGGGTGTTCAAACAGATTTATGCTCACCCCGACTAATATCCTGGTCTGATCCAAAAAATTATTAATATTAATATTTAAACTCATAACGTCTGGATTTAAGGCTCGCCCTGTTATCGTTTAAACTACTCTTGAGGTATACAACTTCTTTTTCACCTCAACATCTTTGTCATTTTTCTTCTACTTTATTTGCTATAAGTTAATCTCAAACTCTTAACAGGAAAAGAAACAGTTTTACCTGGTAAGCATTGACGAGGCTAAGGTCAACGATGGAGGGATTGTTGGCTTGAAAACCTGCAACGGATTCAATCAACCCAAGGCTCTGGAATGACTGCCTAACTGTGAGAGAAGCCAAGGAGTCATTGGTG